GGCAATTACTTACCAGTCGTGTTGAACCCCAATAAATCCACGGTCAAAAATAAGCGGCAGATAGTTCGGGCCATTTGTAGGAACAACATTCATCACCCATACAGATTTTCCAGACTTGAGTAAAGCAGCATTAAATCCACCAAAGTGAGCATTCATATCCAGAACATTCCTAAGCATGTTAAATGGTGGATGTGGCTCCTCATCACCAGGTCTCTTTGGATGATCAGAAAATATAAGTGGAGACAATAAAGACCAGTAGTTTCGCACCATGGAGTCCCAGGTGGAAGTATCCTCACCAAAGTCTTCTGAATTCACACCTGGCAATTTTGAAGGTTTTAATTGGAAGACAGACAACATTTTCAATAAAAATGCTCATATCTAAGCAGTGTCATCCATCTGTTTGTGACCTTTCTACTTCCATTGTGTATGCTGATACTTACCATGTATATCAAGCTCTGTTGAGTTCAATCTAGCCTGAGAAGGCCATGCTGTGCGATGTTCAATGGGGATCCAACGCTTACTTCTTGTTCCTGCTATACAGGGATTTAGTGGTTTGTAGTATGGTGATTCGGGATCATGACTTTTAGCACAAAGCATAGGTTCGGATTTCCTATAACACAGGAGTGCAAAATCATCATTCCTCCAAACCTTAGATTCAATACATGAGAAAGACGGAAACATGTTATAAAAGAATTCAATACCTTGAACTGTAACAATCCCTTTTATTTGTCTTTTTCCACACATTTGTCTCATCTTGTTGTGACAACATCTCCCAACAGAGGTTATTAGCCAAGGCGCGGATGGTTGCCCATTTCTTTTGATTTTCTTTGTCACGTAAGGCCCTGTGTGTATTCAGACTTGTTGTCCAAACAAAGTATCCACCAGGCCTCAAGAGCCTGTCTACTTCAACCAAGAAAACACCATCTGCAGCAAGAGAGTAAAGTAACATACAGCAAGAGAGTTAATGTTAAATTTTCATGAGGTACAAAAAGATTCTAAGTACATATTTATGGTAAATCTACACATGGATTTTTGTTAACTTAATTCTGCGTATGCCTGTTGGTAGTGGCAAACAATCCTGAAATAAGATAGGGCAGAATTCATTCACAAGGAAAGTATGATTTTTCACTTTTGGTACATGACGGTATGTCCTTGAACATTAGTACAAAGCAACAAATTTACATCATCTTTGGGTACACATATCTTAAAAGGTGGTAAACGTGCAAGTCATCTGTTGATGGATTAGCTTGAACTGGTGACTAGCTGAAATTATTTCGATCAATGAGAGTTAAGACACTGAAAAGAACCAAGGGAATACTCCATGCATACCGTTTTTGTCCCATTCAACATTGCATCTTGCACAGTGCACCATGTCAAATGAAAGATAGGGATATGGAAGCTGCTTTGATGCAAATGAACCAATCAGTGCAGGAATTCCTCTCTCTAGTGTGATTTGCACTTGACTGCCCGATGACTCATAGTTAGCAATGCACATAGTCAAGAGGTCTCTCTCAAATAAATGTGCCCCCAAGGTACCAAATCCACATTCTATATCAAGGACTGTCCTCACCTGAAAATTACATGCCACTGAGAAATCAGAACTGTCATAAACTCAACAATTATCCCAAAAACTATAATATCAGACTAGCAGATGAACTATGAGCTGAAGTAGCAAATAGCAACAGTGGAAACATCATATGAACTTGCCAAGAAAAGTACAACCCAAGATATCTCCACTACGTTCAACATTATGGATCGTAGTGGCTGTCCTACTGGCCCACCAAGAAAAAATTCGCAGCACAGTACAAGAAACCCTGATATAAACTTTCCAACGCATTGACTATACATGATTTTCAAAGGCCAGATTAAGTGGAAACTGACCAGCACTTTCCAGACCACTGACCATGCAAAATCTGTAAAGGTATGTTTAATGGAAAGGCCACAATGGACCGGTGCCGCTGGACACAAATCCCACAATAAAAAATCAGTTAGTGCAACTATCTAAAAAAATACTGAAGATTACAGTGAGCTCGTCCATTTTGTTACTTGTCAGAATTTTTGTACTTGAGCTTGCTCCATGATTTCAGATTAAAAAGATTACAGTGAGAGTTATCTTTATGCAACCTCTACAAATACAAGAAAATCAGATGGGAAATTTTAGCAGAACTTATCAGAAGTATTAAGCTGTTTTTTTTTTTTTGCAAGGAAGAAGTATTAAGCTGTTGACAGGGAGCACTATCAAGTGTGCCTTTTCAACGAGGTAAATTCAGTAATTTACCAAGGGTAAACCTCATAAACAGAAATGTCACTGGTTTAGTTCTGCTAGGTAATTCCAGTCACCACCTGTGACACTACAGACCGTTAAACACAGAGAGGAATTTGGCAGCAGCTCACCCCGGCCTCATTGAAATTGAACTCGTTCCGCAGGCCAATCATCTCGGCAATCCGATGCGCGTAATCCTCCACGCCGTCAGACAAATGTGCGTCCGACGGGAAGGAGATCTGGTCCTCTTCCACCATCATCCTACGAACAATCAACCGGAGACAGGCAAATTCACAACCAATAGATGAAGCCTACCACCTCAACATTTCCCAAATAGAGTAACAGATTGTTCGCGTACCTCTTGAAGAGGCTCCCCGAGGAGAATTCATGGCCGCTAATCCGCACGTTGTCCTTCCAGATGAAGTCCTTGCTGCTGGGCCAGCGCACGGGGGTGCGGTAGGCCCGCGGCGGCGCGACGAGGCAGGTGGCCCTGCCCTCCCGCGCGCACTGGCGCTCGTAGCTGATGACGACGCCGCCGCCCAGATCCGAGACGTCGACGGCGTCCGAGCCGTTGTAGTAGCAGGGCACGTGGTTCTCGTACTCGGCCGCGCACGCCTCCGCCTCCCGCGAGCGGAGCCCGCCGCCGGCGAGCACGCCGATGTCGAGCAGGTCGGTGATCAGCTGCTCCTGCAGCCGCCGGTAGCCGCGGTGCGCCGAGGCGGCCGCCATCGCCGCGGCGGCCCCGCGCCCCGCGTAGAGCGACCCGGCCCACGCCACCGACCCCACGAGCGCCGCCGCGGCGAGCACGAGGACCCCGATCCTCGCCGCCGCGGCCGCGAGGCGCCGCTTCCTCCCCCGCGCGGGGGTGGCCGCGCCAATGCCGTTCTCGCCGGGCTGCTTGGGGTCGTAGTGGCGGCCCTCGTCGGCGCAGCGGTCCTTCCCGCCGCCGCCCCCCGAGAACCCCCGGTACAGCGGCCGCGACATGGCTGCGCTGCTGCTGCGGATCTCACTGCCCCAGCCCGCGCCGCATCAGACCACCACCGACTCCCGCTCCCGCTCCCAATTCCGCAATGGCGCCGCACTCCACCACTCCCACTCCCGCTCCACCGCCTGCCACGGCCTCAACACCCCTTCAATCAATCAGTCAGCCAATCAATGGCGGTCGCACGGCGAGTAAATGGGGCGAGAGAAGGCGCAGCAGTGGCGGTGGTACCACCAGCGAGCGTACCACGCCACCAAAGCAGCGCGTCCTCGGCCGTTCCGCGCCGGATCTCCTCCCCTCTCGGCCTCCACGGAACGGGACGGGACTGCGCGCTCCCAATCCGTATCTTCTGTTACTGCGTGTGTAACAGCGGGTTGCTCCGTCGACGGCACCGGTATAAATAAAGGCGCGGTCCACGGCGCTGGCGCGCGACGGTGACGGCCGGGGCCGGGCCCGCCGTCGGTGGGAGAGCGGGGTGGCGAGGCCGGTGGGGATGGAACAGAAAAATGAATGCGGCGCGGGCCCCGCGGAGGGGAGGAGGATTAGAGGAGATGTACCGGATGATGAGTTTTTGTTTGACGTGTGTCCGCCCGGTCGACAGTCTCGTGATGCTACAGAATGTGAGTTTTCTTCTATTTTTCCTGGATTTGCTGGGATTATTAATACTGTGGGAATTTTTTGTAGTCTACTGGTCGAATAAGTTAGTGATGATCGTGCCGGTCATTAGATCCCAAATCGAGTACTGTTGTCGCCACATGTCGTGTGTAATCCCGGGGCCTGGGGTTTTATATTTTAGAACGATGGCGCCGGAGCGAAGTGGCTGAGGGAAACATGTTGCAGCTACTCTGCGTTGTTCTAACGTCTTGTTCTTGGTTGGAGAAATGTAAATATGAGGAGTTGTAAGGCTTTGTACAATGCAAGGTGCTTAACATAGGTGTTTAAAGAAATAAATTAGCTTTTCTCTAAGCACCGGTGCTTATTTGTAGAGGATAGACGCTTAATTAAGCACCTCTCCTGTAGAAATAAGCATCGGTGCTTAAAAAAAACTTGATTTATTTTATTAAGCATTTTTCTAAGCATCTATCATTCTACAATGCCTAAGATGCTTCTAAATCAATATAAGCCCAACCGTTGTTACTCATCAACTCATCAATGTTTTTTCTTTGAAAATTTTAATCTATGCATCATCTGTCGGGCAGTACAAAGAGAACACTGGAATTAACAGAAACTACATTCAAGTCCATAGAATCACCATGCGACAATCACAAGCGCTAACGCGAGGCGGAGGCCACCGTCGTCATCGTCTTTCCGTCATAGGAGCGGGGCAAATCTTGTTGTAGTAGGCGATTGAAAAGTCGTCGTGTTAAGATACATGACGAGCGCACTAGAACAACAATTGTCCTCGAGGAAAGGAGTCGTAGATCGAAAGGATCCAATATGTAGACATACGAACACGGACAAACAAAGACTGAATCCTAGCAAATCAATCAAAGACAAACACCAACCAATTCCGCGAGATACGTTAGTCATATCAGACACACCTCCATGTGCTCTTTGACGACATTAGACGTGAGATCCGTTAGTCATGGATGATTCAATGACTAATATCACTCATGCTGCCTTTTTAGGTGCTTGTTAATTGTTTTATCCATTTTATTTTTCGTTACAAATATCAATTGATGTAATCAGAAATATGACTTTTATTAGGAGTATCTTTCATTTATGTTTTTGAGAAAGTGTAAGACATATCAAATACCAAAAAAACATATTGATACATATCTAAAAGTTCACTAGAAGTTAAAAGCACCTCAAACATAATAAAAATTACATCAAGATCCCTGGAACACCGAGCGCCAACTACAACTGCCAAAACGAGACATCGAAACACCGTTGCCGCCACATCCATACTATAGTATTTCTGACCAAGCTGATGACATCACTAGTGCAGAACCGGGCAATAGCACCGGTTCGTAAGGCCCTTTATGTTGGGGAACGTAGCAGAATTTTAAAATTTTCTACGCATCACCAAGATCAATCTATGGAGTCATCTAGCAACCAGGGAGAGAGGAGTGCATCTACATACCCTTGTAGATCGCGCGCGAAAGCGTTCAAGAAAACGGGGTTGATGGAGTCGTACTCGTCGTGATCCAAATCACCGATGACCTAGCGCCGAACGGACGGCACCTCCGCGTTCAACACACATATGGTTAGGAAGACGTCTCCTCCAACTTGATCCAGCAAGGAGGAAGGAGAGGTTGATGAAGATCCAGCAGCACGACGGCGTGGTGGTGGAAGCAACGGTGATCTCGGCAGGGATTCGCCAAGCACAGGGAGATGGAGGAGTGTCACGGGAGGGAGAGGGAGAGGCCAGGGGCTAGGGTGCGGCTACCCTCCCTCCCCCCCCCACTATTTATAGGACCCCTAGGGGGGCGCCAGCCCTAGGAGATGCCATCTCCAAGGGGGGGGCGGCCAAGGGGTTGGCTTGCCCCCCAAGGCAAGTGGGGCGCCCCCCACCCCTAGGGTTTCCAACCCTAGGCGCAGGGGGAGGCCCATGGGGGGGCGCACCAGCCCACTAGGGGATGGTTCCCCTCCCACTTCAGCCCATGGGGCCCTCCGGGATAGGTGGCCCCACCCGGTGGACCCCTGGGACCCTTCCGGTGGCCCTGGTACAATACCGATTACCCCGAAAACCTTCCCGATGGCCGAAACTTGACTTCATATATATAAATCTTCACCTCCGGACCATTCCGGAACTCCTAGTGACGTTCGGGGTCTCATCCGGGACTCCGAACAACTTTCGGGTTACCGTATACTAATATCTCAACAACCCTAGCGTCACCGAACCTTAAGTGTGTAGACCCTACGGGTTCGGGAGACACGCAGACATGACCGTGACGACTCTCCGGTCAATAACCAACAACGGGATCTGGATACCCATGTTGGCTCCCACATGCTCCTCGATGATATCATCGGATGAACCACGATGTCAAGGATTCAATCAATCTGTATACAATTCCCTTTGTCAATCGGTACGTTACTTGCCCGAGACTCGATCGTCGGTATCCCAATACCTCGTTCAATCTCGTTACCGGCAAGTCACTTTACTCGTACCGTAATGCATGATCCCGTGATCAACCACTTGGTCACATTGAGCTCATTATGATGATGCATTACCGAGTGGGCCCAGAGATACCTCTCCGTCATATGGAGTGACAAATCCCAGTCTCGATTCGTGCCAACCCAACAGACACTTTTGGAGATACTTGTAGTGTACCTTTATAGTCACCCAGTTACGTTGTGACGTTTGGCACACCCAGAGCACGCCGACGGCGATCACATCGACCTTGGAACCATTCCTGACGCGCATCGTCACCTCGTCCTTCGCCAGTGTCCGCTTATTCCACAGCTCCTGCTTTGAGTTACAAATGTGAGCAACCGCACCGGTATCAAACACCCAGGAGCTACTACGAGCACTGGTAAGGTACACATCAATTACATGTATATCACATATACCTTTAGTGTTGTCGGCCTTCTTGTCCACTAAGTATTTGGGGCAGTTCCGCTTCCAGTGACCACTTCCCTTGCAATAAAAACACTCAGTCTCGGGCTTGGGTCCATTCTTTGGCTTCTCCCCGGCAGCTTGCTTACCGGGCGCGGCAACTCCCTTGCCGTCCTTCTTGAAGTTCTTCTTACCCTTGCCTTTCTTGAACTTAGTGGTTTTATTCACCATCAACACTTGTTGTTCCTTTTTGATTTCCACCTCTGCTGATTTCAGCATTGAATATACCTCGGGAATAGTCTTTTCCATCCCCTGCATATTGAAGTTCATCACAAAGCTCTTGTAGCTCGGTGGAAGCGACTGCAGGATTATGTCAATGACCGCGTCATCCGGGAGATTAACTCCCAGTTGAGTCAAGCGGTTATGCAACCCAGACATTTTGAGTATGTGCTCACTGACAGAACTATTTTCCTCCATCTTACAGCTGAAGGACTTGTCGGAGACTTCATATCTCTCGACCCGGGCATGAGCTTGGAAAACCATTTTTAGCTCTTCGAACATCTCATATGCTCCGTGTCTCTCAAAACGCTTTTGGAGCCCCGGTTCTAAGCTGTAAAGCATGCCGCACTGAACGAGGGAGTAATCATCAGCATGTGACTGCCAAGCGTTCATAACGTCTTGGTTCTCTGGGATGGGTGCGTCACCTAGCGGTGCTTCTAGGACATAATCTTTCTTGGCAGCTATGAGGATGATCCTCAGGTTCCGGACCCAGTCCGTATAGTTGCTGCCATCATCTTTCAGCTTGGTTTTCTCTAGGAATGCGTTGAAGTTGAGGACAACGTGGGCCATTTGATCTACAAGACATACTGTAAAGATTTTAGACTAAGTTCATGATAATTAAGTTCATCTAATCAAATTACTCAATAAACTCTCACTCAGATAGACATCCCTCTAGTTATCTAAGTGAAACATGATCCGAGTTAACTAGGCCATGTCCGATCATCACGTGAGACGGACTAGCCAACATCGGTGAAAGTCTTCATGTTGATCGTATCTTCTATACGACTCATGCTCAACCTTTCGGTCTTCTGTGTTCGGAGGCCATGTCTGTACATGCTAGGCTCGTCAAGTCAACCTAAGTGTATTGCGTGTGTAAATCTGGCTTACACCCGTTGTATTCAAACGTTAGAATCTATCACACCCGATCATCACGTGGTGCTTCGAAACAACGAACCTTCGCCACGGTGCACAGTTAGGGGGGACACTTTCTTGAAATTATTACGAGGGATCATCTTATTTAAGCTACCATCATTCTAAGCAAATAAGATGTAAAACATGATAAACATCACATGCAATCTAATAGTGACATGATATGGCCAATATCATTTGCTCCTTTTGATCTCCATCTTCGGGGCTCCATGATCATCGTTGTCACCGGCATGACACCATGATCTCCATCATCGTGTCTTGTTGAAGTTGTCTCGTCGTCTATTACTTCTACTA